GAGAGAGAGAGAGAGAGAGAGAGAGAGAGAGAGAGAGAGAGAGAGAGAGAAAACAAACTCGGGCTATATATCAAACAATGTATTTTCGGACTCTCTCAACAGTTGTATCATTCCCTTATATCTTTTCGCTGCTTGAAGATCGAAAACTCTTCTAATCCAATTCATCCGACAATTTGGCACAGATGACGTTAGTTCAGTATTATGTGCAACATATAATTTATATGCTGCAAGAACTACCATATTTAGACGTTTCCCAAACGAAAAGAAAGAAAAACCCAGTTCGTAGAAAAAAAAAGGTGTGACTCTGCACTCTTGTTTCTCAAATCTCAAAACTTTGACAATGGTGGTCGTTGGAAAACCAGTGGACGGTGCTAACCGAAAAGTGAGTTTCAAAAGAATCTTTCATTTATTTACCTGCTTGCGTAAGCATAAATTTTCGGTGAATATTCATGAATGAGTTTGAAAGGTATACGTAGAAAATAGCATCGAATAGCCAATTTTTGGGAAATATTAAGACCATACCCATATTTTATGATCAATCACTATTTTAAACTTCAACGCTTACACTCCAACTCCAACACCCACCACACTAAACACACAAAAAAGTTATGGCATGAATTGATTTCGATACGTTTTCATGTATGAATAAGCCTATTTAAGATGCGGGTGAATCTTTTAAACAAACAATTTTGCAGTCGACTTGACGTGTGCACAAGCCACGTTAGCAGTTAGCATTCTCTCGTTTGTCTGATGTGTATGTGTGTGTGTATCGAAAATTCAAAGAAAAAAGATAGTTGCTTTTTTTGGATCGTATCCTATTTTTACGGTGCCATCACCCAAAATAAATGACTTCACATTGCAACAACGGGAAGACGAAAGCGTTTTAACTTTATACACTTGAAAGGAATTTTTACCCAAAACAAACGATTTTGTCCTTTGCTATGGTATTAACTCGTATATATAAAGTCACCGAAATGTGCTCTCTCTCTCTCCCTGCCTCGAAAATAAAAACCGACCGAAAACCTGCACGAGAGCGAAAGCCAAAGAGAGAGAGAGAGAGAGAGAGAGAGACACCAAGAGAAAAAGAGCAGGAGAATTTATTTTCATATTTCGGGCAACATTTGTAATATGCTTAAATCGTTCAAATAATTCACGTGAATCTTCTTCCCCCATTCACAATGTTTTCATAGGAGCGAGAAGAAACATTCGAAAGCATCTGGTTTTAAAGAGCTTGAAAATGCACGACTTTCCCATACATATAATATATGTAGTGTACTACTGTTGCCGACGTGCTTGAGCATTTTCACTTTGAGACGACAATCTAAATTTGTTTGTGTTATATAATTACAATGCAGTCTACTGTGAACTGGAAGATTCAATTCGCCTTTGTACACAAACTTTTATATTGTGCTCTTAATTTGAAATGATAATAATATAAAGTTGCACGTTTTCTTGGCAAACATACACATATAGACGAACTCTTACACACAAATATCGGCAAACGTCAGAGTGAAGGCGCATAAAAGGAGAGACAGATAGAGAGATACGGGCACCAAGCAAAGAAATGATTGTATGTGTGTTCTTCTTACAGTAACACTCATCGCATCCCCTTCAAGAAGACTAATTAAAATGAACATCAAAAGAAACAAGACCTTTGTAATTGTACTTACACATGTGGTACTGAACTTGAACGGCAGCTCCGTTATACTTTTGGAAGGCTTCATTGGTTGGAGCAAATATTGTGAGAGACCGAAGCTGCAAATTTGACATCGCTATTTTATTCCGTTCGATTAAATCGTAGAACTGGAAGAGAGAGAGAGAGAGAGAAACAAATGCAAACAATATTTAGTAAACGCACAAATATTTATGTAAATAAAAATATACAAAGAAGTTTTTTTGTTAAATATTTAAAAAAAAAAGTTCGCTGTAGAAAGAGAGAAAAATTATTGTCAAAATATTCATATGAACGTCATGGTTGTTGACATATGCTTTTCCCAGCACAGCACAGCATAGCAAGCGAGCTGAATGCAACTGATGAAAGTAGCGTGTGAAAAGGCGCATTTGTGCAGGATTTTCCATTTTAATCACAATTGTTACATTTTATGCCAATTATTTCGAGTATGTTCTGCGTCATTTCCCCGGCCTTGTTCAAATTAAACTTTCTGCATTGGCTTTGATCTGCATCCTGCCTCTTCCTCACGGTTTTCAATGTATATGTCAGTTTATTTTGTACTCTTGTTGTTCTTCTGTATGCTGTATGCATTTAGTCTAAAATAGCAAAAGCAGTTGTCAACAATGCCATAAGATGATTTGGATTATATAATGCGCTGAATAATATTTTTTGTGTCTTTTCACATGATATCGCCTGAAGATATGTTGCCTAGGCAACAATGTTTGTTTTGAAATTTTAAAGAAAAACGATTTCAACAAAATGTGTTCCCGAAATGTTGGTGTAAAATGTAATGATGGAAAAAGAGATGAATAGCTTTGAATATATCCAACGCAATGGCATGCTGTTTGAGATATAGTAAAGTTAGAGCGAACGGATTGAATCAGTGGCATTTATCGAATTCGTGACATTTACTCATCGTTTGACCACAAATCTGATAAGCTTTATCAGAATGAGGGCTGTCAACATGACTGAATGTCATTCTTAACCCAAAATTAGATAACATTTTGAGGTAAATCGGTTGATATCACACAGCATGTGACTGGACTTTAGAAAAAGCAAACACGTACACATATACATTTTACTTTTGGTTACATTTGGTTTGATCATTATTTAAAAAATACCCTAAATTCATATGCTCGTTTAGTTGGGCGAGCAGAAAAGATATATGGTCAGATATATTTATATAACCAACAAGTCGTTCAGGCAGAAATGATTCAAGCCTCTTTCAATGTGTGTGCATTGCCGGTGTTTTGCGATGTACAACAACAAAGCCGATAAATATAGAGTACTAAAAATAAGGGTTACAAATGTGTAATATGGCTTTGGTTTGAAATAAAGTGCTAGCCGAACACTGCCCGCTTGGTTTGTGTGTCTTCGGTCGATAAGCAACGTTTAATTTGTTCACTCAAAACTCAAACAGATAAGATCTTTTTTCTCTTTGACCAAACTCTTAATGGGGTTTCTTACATGTGCGTGGTTACCGTCCATTCGAACGACACCAAGAAAATGAAGTCGACAAAAGAGAAACAACACGAATCCGAAAGGAAAGCATACCACCTTACACGTAATTACCACGAGTGATCTAAATTGCAGTAGTTGGTTTGGCGAAGGCTTTGCTTCGTCAGTAACAAGAATCAATTATCTATATCGTCACTAACATCGAATGGATGAGGATGATGATGATGATACAATAAATTCGGTAGCCTCGATACAACCATCTAGTCCGATCTAGTGTATCGGTCAGTGGCTTTCCGTATCGTAAACTAAATAAAGATGTCAGTCGAAAAGACTTAGCTGACATTCATAATAATTGATTGCATGCGCTACGGCTCTCTGACTGTGTTCCATTATCATATTGTTTGATTTTCGTAGCCGGAGTCTCGGCTTCTTACCGAGTGATTTATACCGTTCTGTTGGGTACTCTCAGTTGGCCGTGCGCTTTGTTAATTCGAGTTCGCTATTCGATAACTTTTTGTCGACGCATCAGTAAGCATTTCAATCGAATCAATTATTACGTGAGCCGGTGTATATACTCGCCTGATTGCCGATCAAAACATGCTTCGCTTTCGATTATCGCATGGAGAAAATCAACGAGAGTGAAGCATAGTGCGAGAAAGTGTGCTTGTATGTGGAGTGAGTGAGAAAGAAAAAGATTAGCACAAAGGAACATTCAATATTAATCAATGCCAAAATCATGATTGGCCATCGTCAATATGCGAATCGGTGAGGGAGCCGTTTTCTTTTCGAAAAAATCGACGCCTTTAGTGCACATAAATTTCGATTGGCACATTTATTATCGCATTACATTCGGCGCATTCCAAGCCCTCTGATTATGACACTGGCAATACAAAGCCGCGCTGATATTTATAATCCCTCTGAGGACGGCAATTCTGTTTGTTTACCGTTTGCCAGTGTGCCATAATTCCAATTTGAATTGACAAGCCGAATGTCGGCTTGTAAATTGGCCACAAGTATTTTTCATGTTCACGACGATCTCTTCAAACAACGAAATCACAGATGAACAACATTCCACATCAAGAAGTCAACAATGAAAACTCGGGCACTTTGTGTATCGTACTTTTTAGTGCTTTTATTACGCATAATATACATATATAAATTTTAATTTTATTCTTTGTCGCTCCTTTGAGATAATTATTTCACTACATTTATTTTCACTTGAGGCTTTTGTCGCTTGAGTAAAAGGGCGCATCAACACAGCCGCCATTTATTTGCAAATTTAAAAATTCCCAAATACACGACAGTTTCTCTGTTTTTTTGCCTTCTTCTTCTTCTTGAAATGGAAAACAAACAGACCGGTAATTGATTTGGCGCAGCTTGAGCGAAAAGTGAATCCACCAAAACCATCGTTGGTTTGCTTATGGGAGAATAAGAAATGCTATTGACATAACGGAAGACACAACATTGCAAACAGTTTTCCCAAATTGTGCCCGCGGCCATCTTTTTCTCATTTATTTTTGGTTATGAAATTTGATTGAAATCATGCATTTATATGGTGCATTTTGTCTTGATGAAATTTTTTACCATGCATGCATGGTACAGTTTTGGGAAAATTCGATCCGGAAGCACAATCGTAATCGTTATTTGATGTTAAATTTGGTTTAAGTCCATCGACAAACGATTCAATTGTGTGTTCAATGAAGTGAATTCAACTTGTGGTGCAGTTTCTAAGTTTAATTGGTTGGAATCGAAATTGTGGTGTCATTGAGGTTTGTCGATCGAGTCAACTTTGCCGTAATTGTTATCGGTTCTTTTGATCCTTTCGAAACGACTTTACATTTTCCAATATCAAATATACACATGAAATATGATATGCACAAGTTACCCTCCCTCATTTCGATCAATACTTTCTGGCCGATATTGGAAACGGTAAAAATATTTTATTTAAACATATAAAATAGAACGAGGATATTATTATGCATATGTATGGTTGACCTGGGATTAGGTGAGGCGGCACACATGCGACCACTTTGCATGACATCTTTTCATGCCAAAGAATCCGTCTACTTTTTGCCATTCATGCGTATACATACTACGTATATATACTTACAATATGTTTGGTGTAAATATTATAATGGGCTGCAATTGATATTGAAAATATTTTCGTGTTATTTTTTTTTCTATCGGGAAACGGATACCGAGAAATGGTACAAAGCAATATTACGTAATACATGAATGTATTCAAATATTAAACAATACCAAATGCAAATATCGAAGCAATATTCAAAGACTTCAAAAATACTAGTACTCTTTCTTTCTCAAACAAATGTTGATACACAAGGAACACACAGGATATGCACATATATACACACATTTGCAGACACACACAGGATATGCCGGCTTGAAATACACTACATCTCCACGCTATTTGAGCACAACGTTTGTTTGTATATTGACATCAAAATGCAATAAATGTGCATATGGTGCATCAATATTTAATGGAATCCCATTCCGGTTCGCATATAATGCTTAATAAAATATATCGTATGGCTTTTGCACACTCACTCGCACCGAGATATCCAGCCAGTTCGTCAGATGCATCGGAGCGATTCCCTCGTTTGAACAACCAATTTTTATAGTATGCAATATTTAATATTAGCATTTCGCTATAAAAGTGAGCGAATCGGATGAATCATCATATCTACGCAATTTCCGTCATGTTTATTGTTTTTGTGTGTGTGTGTGTGCACAGAAACACATCTAGTGTATGCGTGTGTAAATGCACTTGATGCGAGAGACACACATCATCCGAAAAAAAAGAGGAGAAGCATCAGTAAAAGACCACCAACAAGAGAGACGGAAACAGGGACAAAGAATGTGTGTGTGTGTGATAGAGAGATTCGAAGAGTGCGATCGAGGTGTGTCAGCACATTAAACTTACCAGAGAAATTGAATACAAAATTTGAGCAACTACCCATATAAATTGTTTTTGTGAGAAACCCAGTAAATATTTAATATGGATGAGCTAGATTACTTGCATCAATCTCTCTCTCTCTCTCTCTTCTATTGCTACTTCCTTCCGTCAACTGGCTGCATAAATGGATGTGAGACATGCATACTGAGCGGCGTTGTTTCATTTAGCTGATTGTGTGTATGGAATTAACTTACTATTTGCCTGGCAATAGAACATGGTTGGCCGTTATTCGCTTCCCAATATAATGTGCATCGAGTGCCGTTGTGAGTTGATAGAACAGTACACACTACACACACACACAGACACTTACGTACCGGGCTTTATGCTTTTTAAAACATGCATTAGCATTGTGTGTGTAGAGAGATTGAGAGAGGTAGAGTTGGTGCAATAGACGCCGTGCGTATATGTCTGAGTGTCTGAGTGTTTGTGTATATGTTTCGGGCACTCTCTTAGCTTATGTCCAACACACAAAAGTGTAACACAATAAGAGGACCGATAAAATTGGATTCATAAATATTGCTTTAATAGCGCTCGTTTCATTAGTGCACCGAAAATTAAAAGTCCAGCATTAAAAAGTTTATCGAATAAGCGATAACGCGGCGAAACTGTCAATTCCAAGAACAATAGAGAGAGAGAGAGAGAGAGAGAGATCGGGAGAAAGCGAGGTATATCCCGTCATTGTTGTGTTCGTTGAAAATA